AGGCAATGGTTTTCTTTTCTCTTGCTTCCTTTAAGATTCTTTGTCTTTAATTTTTGGCATTTTAATTATGTGTCAGGGTGTGGGCCTGTTTGGGTTCTTCTTTTTTGGGGTTCTCTGTGGCTCCTGAACGTGAGTGACTTTTTCTTTCCCAGGTTAAGGAAGTTTTCTGCCATTATTTCTTCAAATACCTTCTCTATGCCTTTCTCCCTTTCTGGCACACTTGCTATTCTAATATTGTTACATTTCATGTTGTCCCACAGCTCCCTTAAGCTGTCCTCCTATTTTTTAATTGTTTTTTCTTTTTGGTTTTTTGATTGAGTGATATTTTCAACTCTGTCTTCTAATTCACTGATTCGATTCTCAGCTTCCCCTAATCTGCTGTGTATTCCTTCCAATGTGGTCTTTATTGTGTCATTATTCTTTATCTCAGACTATTCTTTTTTCATAGTTACTATATCTTTTTTCATGCTGTTGAGCATCTTTACCATCAATCCCTGAACTCTGTTTCAGATCAGTTTCTCATCTCTGTTTCATTTATCCCTTCTTATGGAGAATTCTCTAGTTCTTTCATTTAGGGGTTGTTTCTTTTGTCTCCTCATTTTGGCTTTCTGTTTGGGTTTGTGACTATGTATTAGATAGATCCTCTACACCAGCAGTTCTCAACCTGTGGGTCAAGACCCCTTTGGCGGTCGAACGACCCTTTCACAGGGGTCGCCTAAGGCCATCCTGCATATCAGATATTTACATTACGATTCATAACAGTAGCAACATTACAGTTATGAAGTAGCCACAAAAATAATTTTATGGTTGGGTCACAACATGAGGAACTGTATTTAAAGGGCCAGAAGGTTGAGAACAACTGCTCTACACCTTTCAATCTCTAGTGCAGGACAATGTTTCTGACTAATTAGATCAGGCAAAGACTCAAAGCCTCTAGAGCAGTGATGGCGAACCTATGACACGTGTGTCAGAGGTGACACATGAACTCATTTTTTTGGTTGATTTTTCTTTGTTAAATGGCATTTAAATATATAAAATAAATATCAAAAATATAAGTCTTTGTTTTACTATGGTTGCAAATATCAAAAAATTTCTATATGTGACATGGCACCAGAGTTAAGTTAGGGTTTTTCAAAATGCTGACACGCCAAGCTCAAAAGGTTCACCATCACTGCTCTAGAGCAATGGTTCTCAACCTTCCTAATGCCGCGACCCTTTAATACAGTTCCTCATGTTGTGGTGACCCCCAATTTCATTCTTACAAATTGAACATAATTAAAGCATAGTGATTAATCACAAAAACAATATGTAATTATATATGTGTTTTCCGATGGTCTTAGGCGACCCCTGTGAAAGGGTCGTTCAACCCCCAAAGGGGTCGCAACTCACAGTTTGAGAACCGCTGCTCTAGAGACTGCCTCTGCCTACAGACTGATAAGATTCCAACTTGCATTGCCCGCACCCCCCCCCCCCCCCACCAGGGCAATTGTCCTCAGGTGTGGCAAGAGTTTTTTCAACAGGGTGGGCATTTGCTACTGCCTGGAGGCTACTTATTATTTTTAATCTCTTGCCTCAGGGCAAGGTGTTTTCCAATAGCATGTGTCAACTGTCTTCCCCCCAGGCAAGGTAGATGTCTATGTGGGAAAGATGTCCTCCACTGTGTGAGGGAATGACTCAGCTCAGGAAACTTGGGGTGCCTGCCTTCTGAGTTCTAGCCCTCAAATCCCTAGTTGTGGCTTCTGCCCTCACAGCTCCAGTCCACTTCACAGTCCCTCTGCTGGCAGAAGGTGAGTGGCTCCACAGGGAATTTTGTGCATTGGCCCTTTAAGAGGGTTTTCAGCTATTACTTTCTGGCAGATAGCACCCCACTGCTTTTCACAGCCAGATGTTATATGGGTACCCTCCTCAGTTTTGATGCTCTCTGCTGGGGGGCCCAGCTTGGGGATTAGATCCCAGAGTTCTCATTAGCAACCCCCCACAGCTGAGATATCTCTACAGGACTTCAGTTGCTGTCTGTGGGCACTCAGCCAGACCTTTCATGCCTCCGTCCCTCCTACCAGTCTCTATGTGGTCTCCACTTTCAGTCCTCAGGTGTCAGGGTTCTCTCCTGCGAGTTTTCTGTTGATTATTCAGGACGTTTTTCTGTATTTTAGTTATAATACCAGTTTATTCCTGGGAGCATCCACTTACTCTGCTGCCATTTTTAATTCTCTCCAAATTAGGGGTTTTAGAGCCTCACTATTCAAACAACGGGGAGCTTGTTAGAAAACTACTGGTCTAGAGAAAAAGAGGTTTTCTATAGAAAGGGCATTAGATATGCAGTGAACATTGAGTACAGGTCCAGTGCTGCCCCCTAATAATCTGGATGACTAAGTACAAGCCATGCAGCCTTCCTGGGTAGGCAGGCTCTGGAGACAGACCACAAATATCTGTTTTTAAAAAATATTTTTATTGATTTCATAAAGGAAAGGAAAGGGAGAGAGATAGAAACATCAATGATGAGAGAGAAACACTGATTGGCTGCCTCCTGCATGCCCCCTACTGGGGATCAAGCCTGCAACCCTGGCATGTGCCCTTGATTAGAATCGAACCCAGGACCCATTAGTTTGCAGGCCGACGCTCTATCTACTGAGCCAAACTGGCTAGGGCTCACAAATATCTTTTTATAGTGCGTTTGTTCAAATCAGGATATACAAGGTCTCACATGCTCCATTTGGTTGATTTGTCTCTAATCTCCTTTAGTCTATAATAGCTATTCCTCTCCCTCTCTTTCCTCATGCCAATTCTTTACTGGTTAGAATTTTTCACATTCGGGGTCTGTTTTCATGGTGTCATTTAATGTCTCTTTATCCACTGTTGACTGGTAGCTAGGTCTAGCAGCTGGCTTTCACATCCAGTGCTTTGGTGAGACTACTTCAGAGATGCTGTGTGCATCCTCCTGCATCAGGTTAGGAGGCCAGGTTTGCTTGTCTCACCTCTAGTGGGGTTGAAATTGATCAGCAGGCTCAGGTGTTTGTCTGTTTGACCTATTCATTAAATGCTCCCTGTCAGTCTTAAACTTAAGGTTTTCGCAGCCATTATAACAGCCTAGATTCCTTATTTTACTCAGGGATGCAAAATATAATTTTATAAATGCATCTTTCCTTCTGTTTTCAATGAAGAACTCTCTCCCTCATTGATTATTTATGAGATAGTTTGTATAAGAAAGACTGGGGTACATTTTAAAAGTGACACAGTATGTCTGACTCTCCCATTTGTGCCCTTTTTCTCATTCCAGCTTCCCAGTGCTGGAAAGATGAAGGTCCACTCTCATCTCATTTATGTCAGAAGCACAGAATTGCTAATGAATGACAGAATTTACTGAGTGCTCTCCACTTATATCCCTATGCTCAAATTTTATTAGTCTTCAAGGCCCAACTCCATCCCCTTCACAAAGTCTTCCATGATTCTCCGACGTGGCCATCATCTATTCCTCCTCTGAATTCCAGTCATCTCACAAACAACATCCTCTTAGATGTGAGTCACTGTATCTCTTTTCAAGAAACTTTTCCTTTACTCTTTGTAAATAATTATTTATGTATTTTATTTTCTTGCCTAGATTCCTTCGAAGCAGGGCTATGTTTGACTTAGCTTTCTATCTCCACAGTGACTAGCATTTAACCTTTTGTGGAAAGTCAATAATTACTCATTTAATAAAAAAAAATTAATTAGAAAAGAAGAAAATTTTAAGCCTTCACAGCAATGGATGTTTTCTTCTTTTAAAGGTGAGTGGAGCTCTCTTGGGTCCTCTCTTCCAAGATGACCAAGAAAAGAAGGAACAACGGTCATGCCAAAAAGGGCCATAGCCATGTGCAGCCTTTTCACTGCACCAACTTTGCTTAAATGTGTGCCCAAGGACAAGGCCATTAGGAAGTTCAGCATTCCAAACAGTCGGGGCCTCAGCCACAGGCTTTAGGGCCATTTTCAAAGCCAGTGTCCTCACACCTAAGCGTTTCCTAAGCTGTATGTGAAACTCCACCACTGTGTGAGCTGTGCCATTCACGGCAACGTGGTCAGGAATCCTTTTCCTGAAGCCCGGAAGGACTGAACACCCCACCCCAATTTAGATCTTTGGGTGCTGCCCCATGACCTCTACCAAAGCCCATGTAAGGGGCTAAAGCCTAAGGACTGAAGATATATTCTCTGGAAAAAAATAAAAAAATGTTAAAAAGATGAATGGGTATGTTATAAATTTAGTATATATGCTTATTTTTAATAATTTAGAAATATGATAAACTTCTTAAATTAATTGCTATTAAAAATAAATTATGTTGATGAACCGCCTTTTCATCATAGTGGGATATACTTGGATTGTAACTCTATAACTATCTAGCTACCAAGATCATATTTCCATTTTCTTCTAACATATTTTCCTGTTTTATCTGCCTTTATTTTTTCCAACTTTATTGAGATATAATTGACATATAACACTGTGTAAGTTTAAGGTATATAATTCGTTTTGATATACTTATATTCTGCAAAATGTTTAACACCATTCCATTAGCTAACACCTCCATTAAGGTACATAATTACTATTTCTTTTCAGTGATGCCTTTATCTTTAGATGCCATCTAAAGTAAATTATGAGTGCTGTTTCCCTAAGCACCCCTTAATCATGGTTATTTTAAACAGCTATTGATATAAGGATGGTGGTAGCATATGCAACAATATAAATAAGTTTCATTCACTATGAAAAATTGCACATATCTTTTGATTTTACATTTTGAAAGAAATTAATCTGATTGGTCTTAACAGAAATCAGATGGGACATTATGTAAAATTTCAAAACCTGAAAATGCAAAATTCAATTCTATACTTTGTGGGTAAATAATACTGCCACAATGCCAGTGTGTGACCATTTTAATAAGCAAATTTTTTGTAGGCTGACAATTTCTTAAACTTGTTAATAAAATGGTATTATGTATAAGAATGATAGCAAAGCAACAAAAAGTTTTTCTTACCAAGATATTAAGCTCTTCATTTAGACTGTGGTACTTATCCAGTTTGGCTCCCAATAAGGTAGGATCTCTGACATTCTTGGTTTCATTTGAATCAAAGTCTGTAACCTGAGATTAAATATTTGTGCTCACTTCCAATACTTTCACAATCCTTTGAGTATTTGAAAATAAATACTTTATTAGTGAAACAAAGAGATTTTCAGGGGCTAGAATAAAAGAAGCATTTACAGCTAGAAGGAGTTAAACAAATTTACCAAGAGAATATACAAATGTGAAATTGTATTTTTATACAGTAAAGACAGTACATAGTAAATGTTAAACTCACGTCAATAACCTGATCTTGAAATGCTTTTTCATTAGCAATTAACTCTCTAAAAGTTGCAATTCTTTCTTTATGTTTCTGTAGCTAAGAAAAAAAGCATTTTGTATTTCAGAGAGTGAGAAGAAATAAAACTATATTCTATAACATCTATATATATAAAAGGCTAAGCAACCAGCCAACTGGCTGACTGGCCGACCGGCTGATAGGTATGACGTGCACTGACCACCAGGGGACAGATGCTAAATGCAGGAGCTGCTGAGCAACAGCAACTTTGCAGAGTGCCCTCTTGCACTCTGGGACCCCCTCAAGGGATGTCGGAGAGCCAGTTTTGGCCTGATCTCCGCAGGCCAGGCCAAGGAACCCCCACCTGCTGGAGGGACCCCGCTCACTCTGCAGATGTCCTTTGAGCTGAGGCGCCACCCAGGTTCAGCCGGCCCGGGAGGGACTGTAGGAGGCTGGATCCAGGGCGTGTCCGGCCCATCTCGCCCAGTCCCACCCCACCTTCTAATGAATTTCCTTTCAATGTGCACAAATCCGTGCACTGGACCTCAAGTCTATACTAATAAAAATGTAATATGCTAATTAGACCAGGAGACCTTCGGAGGCCTCCTGGACGTCCTTCTGGACAAAGCCGGGAGCTTGGCCAGCCTGCAAACCAGCCCCTACAAATGGCCCTCAGCCCCTTGCTGGCCACGCCCCCCGAGCAGGAAGCCTCAGCCCAATGGGGGCGTGGCCAGCCTGCAAACAGCCCTCAGACCCTCGCCCAGGCTGACTATGCCTCCCAGCAAGAACCCTCACTTGGATGGGGGTGTGGCCAGCCTGGAAACAGTGCTAAGCCCCTCGCCCAGGCAGGCCACACCCCCCAGCAGGGACCCTCACCCTGATAGGGGCATGGCCAGCTTGCAAACAGCTATCAGCCCCTCACCCAGGCTGGCCACACCCCGTAGTGGGGACCCCCAACCTGATGGGGGCATGGCCGGCCTGCATACTGCCCCAACCCCTCACCCAGGCTGACACCGTCCCCGGTGGGGACTCCCACCCTGGTAGGGGTGTGGCAAGCCTGCAAACCGCCACAGGCCTCTCACCCAGGCCAGCCCCACCCCCCAAGGGGACCCCCACCCTGATCCGGGACCCCCTTCAGGGCAGACCAGCTGGCCCCCACCCATGCACCAGGCCTCTATCTATACTAATAAAAGGGTAAAATGCTAATTAGACTGGGAGACCTTCTGGGAGACCTTCCAGATGTCTTCTGGACAAAACCATGGTGGCGGGGCCTAAGCAGAAGCAGTTAGGGGTGATCAGGCCAGGAGGGAAGGGCAGTTAGGGGTGATCAGGCTGGCGGGGGAGGGTAGTTGGGGGCAAGCAGGCTGGTGGGGGGGCCATTGGGGGCAAGCAGGTCGGCAGGGGGGGCAATTGGGGGCGAGCAGGCTGGCAGGGGGTGGCAGTTGGGGGTGAGCAGGCCCGCAGGGTGGGGGCAGTTGGGGGCAAGCAGGCTGATGGGGGGGGCTGTTGGGGGTGATCAGGCTGGTGGGGGGGCAGTTGGGGGCAAGCAGGCCAGCAGGCAGAATAGTTAGGGGTGATCAGGCAGGCAGGCAGGTGAGCGGTTAGGAACCAGAGGTCCCAGATTGTGAGAGGGTGCAGGCCGGGCTGAGGGACAACCCCCGTGCACAAATTTCATGCACCAGGCCACTAGTCCTATATAATAAAACTCTAATACGCAAATCGACTGAACGACAGAATGACCAGTGGAATGACTGGTCACTATGATGTGCACTGACCACCAGGGGGCAGATGCTCAATGCAGGAGCTGCCCCCTGGTGGTCAGTGTGCTCCCACAGGGGGAGCACCACTTAGCCAGAAGCTGGGCTCATGGCTGGCGAGTGCAGCGGTGGTGGTAAGGAGCAGTATGCAGGCGGGGGGTAAGGAGCGAGGGGTCCCAGACTGCGATAGGGATGTCAGTCTGTGAGAGGCATGTCTGGGACCCCTCAGGGGATCAGGCCTAAGCCAGCAGGCAAACATCCCTCGAGAGGTTCTGGACTGCGAGAGAGCACAGGCCGGACTGAGGGACCCCCCCTCCAGTGCACGAATTTCATGCACCAGGCCTCTATAATAAAATCATAAAACCATGTACAGTCTAATCCCTGGTCTCAAAAAGATACACTGTTTTTACAGCTCTTGTTCAGAAAGGAGTTCACACAGCAGGCCCGAGGCTGCTATCGTTAGAAGGGCCTGCTAGCCAGGCTGCCCCTGACTGTACCTAGGAACTTGGATTTTGGGAGGGTTTCCAACATTCCCTGATATGAATGGCTCATTGTGCCTAACAAAGAATGTGGTTTATGCTGAATAAGTCTTTCCATCTGGAGGGTCTGTAATTTTGGTAAGTTCTAGGCAGAAGTGCCTATGGGAAGAGCCTCCAGTAAAAACGCTGGGCACTCGGTCTCAAATGGGCTTTCCTGGTAGACAAGATTTTACACATGTGTTGCCACACCTCACTGCTGAGGGAATGAAGCACATCCTGTGAGGCTCCATGGGGAGAGGACTCATGAAAGCCATATTGTTTCTTCTGGACTTTGCCCTATGTGCCTTTGCCCTTTGCTGATTTTGGTCTGTATCCTCTCACTGTACTGAAAGCTGTGAGTATACTGTATGCTGAGGCCCTTGAGTCCTAGTGAATCACCAAACCTAAAGATGGGTTTGGGATCTCCAGGGAGCTTAACCCTAATATTCCATTGTTTTTTACAGTTAAGGTATTAAAATTCTTCTTTAAAGAAAAAAAATGACCAACTTTTTCTAGATGCAATCCTATCTAATAAAAGAGAAACATGGCAATTGGCGTATGACCGCTACCCTTCCCATTGGCTAATCAGGGCAATATGCAAATTAACTGCCGGCCAAGATGGCGGCTGGCAGCCAGGCAGCTTGAAACTAACATGAGGCTTGCTTGCTTGAGTGACGGAGGACTCCAACGTTCCCCGCCTGCCGCTGCAGCCTCTGAACTGCGACTCTAAGCAACTATGTTACAAATATAGAAGCTAAACAAAACCCCAGAAACCTGCTTTAGTCCGCTGGGCTTCAGCCAGCAGGATCGCAACATTGTAAGCAAAGGCCAGAAACCTACTTTCAGCAGCGGAGGCCTAAGAGCTGGAGCCAAGCCCCAGAATAAAAAAAGAAAAAAGAAAAAAAGGAGTGGTTCGGAGCTTCAGTCACCCCCAGCCTGAAAACAGCCCTCAGCCCCTCACCCAGACTGGCCAGGCACGCCAGTGGGAACCCCCACTATGAAGGGTGTGTGACCAACTGCAAACAGCCATCATCCCCTCACCCAGGCTGGCCAGGCACCCCAGTGGGGAACCCCACCCTGATCCAGGACACCCTTCAGGGCAAACCAGCCGGCCCCCACCCATGCACCAGGCCTCTATCCTATATAGTAAAAGGGTAATATGCCTCCCAGCACCAGGATCAGCGGAGCCGCGAGGCCTCCCAGCACTGGGATCAGTGGTGCTGAGAGGCCTCCCAGCACCGGGATCAGTGTGACAGGGGGCAGCACCCAAACCCTGATGGCCCTGCGGCTCTGTGTGTGACAGGGGGCGGGGCCACAACCTCCCTATCCACCCTGCTCTGTTCGTGACAGGGGAAGGCACCCCAACCTCTTGATCAGCCCTGCTCTGTGCCTGATAGGGGGGAGCTCCCCAACCCCCTGATCGCCCTGCAGCTCTGTGTGTGACAGGGTGCGGCGCCCCAACCCCCTGATCGGCTCTGCTCTGTGTGTGACAGGGTGCGGTGCCCCAACAACCCCCCCACAGGCCCTGCTCTGTGTGTGACGGGGTAGAGCCATAACCTCCCCATCGGCCCTGCCCTGAGTGTGAGAGTGGCGGCGCCCCAACCCCCTGATTGGCCCTGCTCTGTGGGTGATAGAGGGCGGCACCCCAACCCCCTGATGGGCCCTGCTCTGTGTGTGACAGGGGGCAGTGCCCCAACCCCGATTGGCCCTGCTCTGTGTGTGACAGGGTACAGAGCCCCAACCCCCTGATGGGCCCTGCTCTGTGTGTGACAGGGGGCAGTGCCCCAACCCCGATTGGCCCTGCTCTGTGTGTGACAGGGTACAGAGCCCCAACCCCCCTGATTGGCCCTGCTCTGTGACAGGGGGCAGTGCCCCAACCCCGATTGGCCCTGCTCTGTGTGCGTCAGGAGGTGGCGCTGCAACCTCCCCATCGACCCTGCCTTGAGTGTGACGGGGTGGTGCGCCAACCCCCCAATCGGCCCTACCCTGAGCATGACTGAGGGTGGCATCACAACCTCCCGATCCGCCCTGCTCTGTGCATGACAGGGGGGCGGCGCCCCAACTCCCCAATCGGCCCTGCTCTGAGCCCAACCAGGGGCTGCACCTAGGGATTGGGCCTGCCCTCTGCCACCCAGGAGCAGGCCTAAGCCAGCAGGTCGTTATCTCCCGAGGGGTCCCAGACTGTTAGAGGGCACAGGCCGTGCTGAAGACCCCCCTTCCCCCCCGAGTGCACAAATTTTTGTGCACCGGGCCTCTAGTTTATAATAATTTCTTATTTGCTTTTTTGTTCCTTCAGTATAACAACAATGAATCTTAATATTCAAACTTCTCCAAATATAAGTGAAGTAAAATGTGCTACACAGAATACTTTTTTATTATGAACAATTTCCAATATTTAAAAAAAAATAGAGCCCTAGCTGGTTTGGCTCAGTGGATAGAGCGTTGGCCTGCAGACTGAAGGGTCCCATGTTCAATTCCGGTCAAGGGCATATGCCTGGGTTGCGGGCTTGATCCCTAGTGGGGGCCATGCAGGAGGCAGCCAATCAATGATTCTCTCTCATCATTGATGTTTCTCTCTGTATGATCTCTCTCTCCCTCTCCCTTCCTCTCTAAAATCAATAAAAAATATATTTAAAAAAATAGAGAAAATCTTTAATGAACCATTATGTAGCTATCATCCAGCTTCAACTACTTATAACTAATGGCCAATTTTGATGATTAATGTTCCCAACCACTTCCTTCCCTCTCCATCCCCCTTCACTGAATCAAATCACAGACATCATATAATCTCACCTGCCAATATTTCAGGAATTATACAGAAATTTACCAAAAGAACATAAGTATATGAAATTGTATTTTTGTACCATCCCGCTCCTACCCTCAATTGGGCTTATTTTTGAAGGCTGGTTTAAGAAGTGGAGGCCAGCCCTAACCAGTTTGGCTCAATGGATAGAACATCAGCCTGTGGACTGAAACGTCCCAGGTTCGATTCCGGTCAAGGGCATGTACCTTGGTTGCGGGCACAACCCCAGTAGGGGGTGTGCATGAGGCAGCTGATGGATGTTTCTCTCTCATCGATGTTTCTAACTCTCTATCCCTCTCCCTTCCTCTCTCTGTAAAAAATCAATAAAATATATATATATTTTTTTTTTAAAAAAAGAAGTGGAGGCCAACCCAACCAGTGTGGCTCAGTGGTTGAGTGTCAACCTAGGAACCAGGAAGTCACAGGTCAGGGCACATGCCCAGGTTTCTGGCTCAATCCCCGGTGGAGGGTGGGCAGGAGGCAGCTGATCAGTGATTTTCTCTCATCATTGGTGTTTCTACCTCACTCTCCCTCTGCCTTCCTCTCTGAAATCAATAAAAATATATTTAAAAAAGAAGTGGAGGCCAGTAATTTCTGTGCATGTTTGTTTATTTCTAGATTCTTTTCTCTACATATTAGTTAGGAGTCCAGGAGATTGAGTCCCCAGAATACCTGCAACAAATTCTCTATCCACTTCAATAGAGAAGTAACTAAAAAGTAAGTAATAAAAAAAACCACATCGATCAGAGAAGTAATTTCCTAATAGGACAGGACTAAATTTATTATGATGACCCAAGATCCAAGATTTGAATGTGTTTTTATTCCTTGAGCCAGATAGATCTGGCACTTTTGTATTCCTCTCAGATTAAAAACTGCACAAGTTAACATCTTGTTATCACATTCGCTATATAACTTACTCTCTTAATTTTATTTTCCAACTGGTAGCCCGGTGCATGAAATTCGTGCACATTAAAAGGGAATTAATTGCCCTAACCAGTTTTGCTCAGTGCACAGAGCGTCGGCCTGCGGACTCAAAGGTCCCAGATTCGATTCCGGTCAAGAGCATGTACCTTGGTTGCGGGCACATCCCCAGTGGGGAGTGTGCAGGAGGCAGCTGATTGATGTTTCTCTCTCATTGATGTTTCTAACTCTCTATCCCTCTCCCTTCCTCTCTGTAAAAAATCGATAAAATATATTTATTTTAAAAAAGGGACTTAATTAGCAGAGATATTTTAATATTGCTATTTGCCCTTTCTCTATAATAGAAGTGTGAGAGATGAAAGGAAATTAGTAAGATGTATATGAAAATCATATATAAATTTATTAATAAACTAGTGGCCTGGTGCATGAAATTCATGCACATTGAAAGGGAATTAATTAGAGGAAATATTTTAATGTTGCTATTTGCCCTTTCTCTATAATAAAAGTGTGAGAGATAAAAGGAAATGAGTACAATGTATATGAAAATAATACATAATTTTATTAATAAATAAACAATAATAAAATGATATAAGAAAAAACTCATGATGTAAAAACAACACTGATGCAAATAATGACTGATAAAGTGATTAAATTTATTCTAATATCTCCCTGTATACCACATTAAGGGCTGGTTGGGGGCGTGACTGGTGACTGATAGGCAGCGGTCACCCCAGCAGGGCCGGATCTCCCGTGGGAGATCCGGTCTGGTGGGGCGACTGTTGCGGGAGATCCGGGCTGGCGGGGAGACTGCTGCGAGAGATCCGGTCTGGCGGGGCGACTGTTGCGGGAGATCCAGGCTGGCGGGGAGACTGATGGAGGTCGCAGTCGCCCCGGATCTCCCAGTGGGAGGGCTGGTTGGGGGCGTGACAGCTGGCGGACCGCCAGGGTCACGCCTGCCAGCCCTGGGTCGGGTCGCACAGGGGTCGCCCGCCATCCAGGTCACAGATAGCAGGCCCGGATGGTGGCGGGGCAGGCAGAATGGCCCTGTCCCATCCTGCCTGCAGTATGCAAATTAGCCACCATCTTTGTTGGCTGTTAACAGCCATCTTGGCTGGCAGTTAATTTGCATATTGCCCTGATTATCCAATGGGAAGGGTAGCGGAGTGACACTAATTACCATGTTTCTCTTTTATTAGATAGGATAAACAGTAACAAAAGGATATAACAACAACAGAGGCATATATCAAAACGACAAAAACATGATATGAAAACAACAAAAACACATGAAAACAACAAAAACATGATATAAAAACAACAGTGATGCAAACAATGACTGATAAAGTGATTAAACTTATTCTATATCTCCCTGTACCCCACATTAAGAGTGAAAACACTTTCAGAGTGCTTGACTAATTTCCCTTGTGATGAAGTACTTAGAACTTTTACTGTAACATCACATGCTCTTCAAACTCAAGAGAAAGCAACATATAACTGACCATGTGCAAAAATGGGTTCAGGTAGGAATATGCCTACTCTGTCGAGAGCAGCCGTGGGCAAACTATGGCCCGCGGGCCAGATCCGGCCCGTTTGAAATGAATAAACTAAAAAAAAAAAAAAGACCGTACCCTTTTATGTAATGTTGTTTACTTTGAATTTATATTAGTTCACACAAACACTCCATCCATGCTTTTGTTCCGGCCCTCTGGTCCAGTTTAGGAACCCATTGTGGCCCTCGAGTCAAAAAGTTTGCCCACCCCTGGTCTAGAGTTTGTCCTTGTGATTTATCAATAGTCATCACAAATCCTGGCATAACGGGAAACCGTCATTGAATCAATTTAAATGGGAGGCCAGTGTCCGATGGGGACAAATTCATTCTTGGAATCAGAACAGCCTCTCCCTCTGCAGATCCTGTTAATACTTCAGCTTCGATAATGTTAGGTCATAATCTTTTGATAATAAATCTGGTACCATTACAAAGACCCCATTTACTATTGAGATTTCTTAATAGCATGATGATTGGACCCACTTTCAATTTTAATTTATGACACGGCATTCCCAAAGGAGTAATACTATTAAGAAATTCAATGGGAAAATTTTCCTTTACAGCATCATCTGTGGAATCAATGGAATCATCACTCAAAATATGTGTCAAAATCTCCATCGAGTATATCCAAATTTCCTTCACTTAATTTTTGAACATGCTCATTTTTTGGACAAAGAATTGCACGTTTAGATATATTTTTAATATTATCTATACCAGTGGTTCTCAACCTTGGCTGCACATTAGAATCACCTGGGAATCTTTTTAAAATCCTGATTCCTGGGCCTCATCCTCTGGAAATTGTTTCTTTGTTATGGGGTGGGGCCACAACATTAGTAACAAAGAAACAGAATTAAAACTTTATTGTGGGGAGCCACTACAGTGTTTTGGACAGGTTCAAGCCTTGGACTGATGAGAGGGCACAGTCCTCTCATTGCCACATGCAAGTCCCAGCTTGGAGGACAGGGCCCTCCCACCACAATTATAGCCAACAGCTGTAGTTGTAAGCTTGAACCTATGGTCCGAACATGTGGCCCCACGTGCCTGAGTAATGTAGGCTTGATAGAGTTCAGGTGCATGTAGTTGAGTAGGATTGAAATCCAGGAGAATGTTGTAAACATCTTGGTCATGCACTTACTTTGCCTCATAGCATCTGCTATAAAATAAAGGCATGGCTGTGGGTGTGGTTGCTGTCTCTCAGAGAAGCAGTGTCCCACTATGACCTGGCTTTCATTTTCTTGTCTGTCTTTTCTAAGCCTTTCAGCCACCCCCACTCAGGTTCACCCCGGCCGTGCTGTCATGCGGCACATTTTATAAAGTTCTGCCTCCACACTCCCAGGGTGGGTTCCTGCCTCAAACCCCGCCCTTACAGGAAACAGCTCTGGAAAACAGCTTGGGGGAGGCCAAAGCCGTTGCCAAGACAACCCCTGCAGAACTGACTTCCTTCCGCTTGGTTTTGGCAGTTCTTCTGGATGTGATGAACACTACCCATGGTTTTTATATAAGTAGATGTTAATAGCACTACACCAAGAAAAGAATATGAAGAAGTTTCAGGAACCTCTTCCTTTACCCTTATCCCACATGAGAAATAAAATTATTGGTTTCAGTTTATACATTATTTCGAGTGATAAAGTTTGAAATCATTATAGAAATTTCAAAATACACTATTTTCCAGGACTTAGTAATGCCATGTAAAAGAGAAAATAATCATACCACTTTTTTTTGGCAGATGAATGAGACTGTCTAATACAGACTTATATCATAAAACAAGTTATATATCAAACAATATAGCTCCTTAGTAAGAGCCATAGTAAAGCTAATCTGGTCCACAAAAACATTCATAAAACATATCCAAATTTTTAGAAATTCATTTCTATTTTATGCTACATTTTACTTTGACTGTTTTTTCACTAAAAATGGTATAATTTTTATTATTTTTAAATCCTCACACAAGGATATATTTTCATTGATTTTAGAGAGAGACAGAGAGAGAGAGATGAGAGAGGAACATTGATCAATTGTCTCCTGCATATACACAGACTTGGGATCAAACCCGCAACTAGGATATGTGCCGTGACTGAGAATCGAACTTGTAACCTTTTTGGTGTAGGGGACAATGTTCCAACCAAGTCACCTGGCTAGGGCTATTATTATTATTATTATTATTTTAAATTTTATTGACTGATTTTAGAGAGAGGAGGGAGGGAGAGGGAGAGAGTGAAGAAGAGAGAGATAGGAAAAGAGAAAGATTTGTTGCTACACTTATTTATACATTCATTGGTTGATCTTGAATGTGTCCTTACTGGGTGTCAAACCTGCAACCTTGGTGTATTGGGACAACACTCTAACCAATTGAGCTACCTAGCCAGGGTGATATAATTTTTAGAATAAAGAATACATACAGTACCTCTTCATCTAAATTTTTCTTTTTAAGATGAAAGTTCTTCAATTTTTGCAGCATTGTATCACTAACTTTCTCACTCTCTTTGAAATGTTCAGCATCAGGATTGCTGATATCCTAAAGACAACAGTTTGAGAAGCTAGATTAATATTTTTTTCACTAAAACTAAAAGAAGGAAAAAACACAATGAAACAAATCTCCCTCCCCAAATAAGTGACCAAACCAAAGGAGGTAAAATAATATTGAACTTGATTTTTTAAAAAATATATTTTATTGATCTTTTACAGAGAGGAAGATAGAGGAATAGAGAGTTAGAAGCATTGGATGAGAGAGAAACATTGATCAGCTGCCTCCTGCACACCCCCTACTGGGGATGTGCCTGCAACTAAGGTACATGCCCTTGACCGGAATCGAACCTGGGACCCTTCAGTCCGCAGGCTGATGCTCTATCCATTGAGCCAAACCAGTCAGGACTGAACTTGATTTTTTTAACTCAATTCTTTAATTACTCATAATAAGATATTCATTCAATAAAGAGTTAGTGTAGAAAGAGTTCATATAGATTTACACTCATATAGATTGCTATTGGGACAGATTTATATATCATTGGGATATTAATACTCATTTATAATAACAAACCCAAATTTTAGACAAATTTTTGTAACTAAAACCAAAATAATCAGATATCCTCAACAATACTGAACCTCTCCATATTTCCACAGTACCCAGAATGAAGGCACTTGTACCAAAATAACCTAAGGGTCACAAGTGCATGCCTGTGTTCTGCCTGAGTTCTGTCACTTTATCACATGTGAGACTTTAGACAAGAAACTCAACTATTCTAAACCTTTGTTTGTTTTTCATGTTTTAAAAAAAGCCTGATAATACAAAGAATGGTGTAAGAGATAAGCCATGAAAAGCAGGAACAGTACAAGGACAGGTTGGGAAGTCTGCAAATATTTGTTGAGTGTATTAGGAGCTTAACCTGTATTAGGTACAGGACATACAGCATACCAAGTCTCTAATCTTGAAGTCGTATGTCCTAATGGGGTGGGAGATACTGAATAAGCAAATAGTATTTGTATAGCATGGAATGAATCTACTAAAAAGATCTATACTTCATTATTGAGAGGTCTGGTAGAGAAGAAGCAGCTAGCAAATTAAGACTGAGAAAGAACAGCAGCCACCAGCGAGATGGGAGAAAACTAAGCAAATACAGTGAGTAAGCAAATGTTTGAAGGGCAAGGTGGGGAGAAAAGGTTTACAGCCAAGGAGAGTCTATGCCAGAATCAAATTCCAATATTTAAAAAGAAAACTTTAGGTAGATATACTGGTGGTTTGTGGGCCACCACTTTGTGATCTCTAGAGGAAATGCTTAGCTAGTATCTAGCATTAAATAAATGCTAGTGTTTAACAATTTAGCTGAAACAAAATAGAAATAAAGCTTGTGTTGGATCAGGAGCATCACAAACCTATGTCACCAAACTTTGGCTCAGATGAATGCACTTAAGATCAAAGAAATCTATAATAATAAAAGCATAATATGCTAATTAGACCAGACAGCCAACCGACCTTCCAGACGTCATTCCAGACATCCTTCTGGACAAAGTCGCGGCGGTGGGGGCCGAGGCAGAGGTGGGCAGGGGCGGTCAGGCAGGCAGGCGAGTGGTTAGGGGTGATCAGGCAGGCAGGTGAGTGGTTATGGGTGATGAGGCAGGCAGGCAGAGTAGTTAGGGGTGTTCAGGCAGGCAGGTAAGCGGTTAGAGGTGATGAGGCAGGCAGGCGAGCAGTTAGGGGCGATCAGGCAGGCAGGTGAGTGGTTGTGGGTGATGAGGCAGGCAGGCAGAGTGGTTAGGGGTGATCATGCAGGCAAGTGAGCGGTTAGAAGCCAGTGGTCCCAGATTGTGAGAGGGATGTCCGAGAGGGTCCCAGATTGCAAGGGTGCAGGCCGGGCTGAGGGACAGCCCCCTCCAGCCCTGTGCACGAATTTCGTGCACTGGGCCTCTATTATACAATAATAGAAGGTAAGTGGAAGAAAGAGAGCTAGCTAATTTGAGAAACTATCAAGTGTCATAAGTGTCATGTCCTTTAATATGTTCTCTCATTAAATGTAGTGCTTGTAAGCTCCCAGGGCAGCAGCAAGTATCATTTCCCCTGTTTACCACGAGGAAACTAAGGCTGAGAAAGGTAAAGTTACTTGGTCAAGTCACACAGCCAGCAAGTGGTGAAGCCAGAATTTGAACTCACCTTACATTAATTTCATTTTTCAATCTACTAATGGACACAGTTCCACACTGCCCTCCCCCTGCCCCAAAGCTATATTTTTAGATGGGGTAAATAGCTTATAAATGTGAACAATCACTAATCCCTAGGAGCAGGCTGACCCAGAGTATAAGACTACTGTTCTGAAAGAGCTTTCCTGAAACATGAGAAGTTCTAATGTTACTATACTATAGGCTTGTGGAAAGTAGATGTTGACAAAAGATAACAGAAAGAAGCAGTAGGAGGAAGGAAAGGCTGATTGGTTGGTTAAGGGTCTCTATTCTGTTGTCATTATTTTCTTTCATAACTTAATTCTGTCACTTCATATTGCCTCTTTTTTCTAACCTCGGTATTTTCCTCCCCACCGATTAAAAAGTATGCATAAAAAAAAATTACCTGGTTTGTGAGAAGGCTTGCCATCAGAGCCAGAAGATAGTGAATTTTGAAAGGCGGCTGAGAAGTTGTTTTCACATCTGGGGGATTTGGGCTCTCTTCTTTACAAGGTGAGCAATTAGACTGCATTATCTTCGCATCCTATGTGTGCACAATTCAGATTTGTCACAATAAAGACAAAGAACCTGGATTACTTTAAAAGTAAAATGCTGAATAAAACACCACTCCTAAAACCTCTGAATGGTAGTTCTCAAACTTTTTTATTTTCAGGACCCCTTAAATAGTCTTAAAAATTATTAAGGATCTCAAAAACATTTTGTTTATGTAGGTTATATCTATCAATATTTATCATATTAGAAATTAAAGGTGAGAACATTTAAAAATATTTCTTTTAAATAACAATAAATCTATTGTATCAATATAAATAACAATTTTTTTTAATTACCACATTTTCCAAAACAAAAATTAGTGAAAAGATTGGGTCTGGCCCTACCCGGTTTGGCTCAGTGGATAGAGCATCCGCCTGTGGACTGAAGGGTCCTAGGTTTGATTCAGGTCAAAGGCATGTACCTTGGTTGCAGGCATATCCCCAGTAGGGGTTGTGCAGGAGGCAGCTGATTGATGGTTCTCTCTCATCGATGTTTCTAACGCTCTATCTCTCTCCCTTCCTCTCTGTAAAAAATCAATAAAAATATATTTAAAAAACGATTGGGTCTGTTGCATTTTTTTTGAATACTTTTAATGCTGGCTTAATAGAAGGCAGCTGAATTCTTATATTTGCTTCACACATTGTGTCAGCCATGGAAACAATTACACGTCATTTAGTTTCTGGAAATCTCCACGGTATACTTGTGAAGGAATGAGAGTGAACAAGGCAATAACATCTTTGATATATTACTATGAAAATATTTTTGACCTCACAGATACACCCAGACCACACTTTGAGAAAATGGACATAGAGTTAATAAAAAGCAAAACTAAAAGGAGAGTAAGAATGATCTGGGGATATTAAAGAAATTGATCAGTCAAGATAAAACAAAAAAGTTTACTGTTTTTAAAAAGAAAGCTCAAGGGAAAAAAATATGCTGTGATACACTTCTGTACAGTTACACTAATTCATTCAGAGTTTACCAATTTAAAATTTGTCATGATTTGATTAGCAGCTAAACTTAAGGTCATCTTTGCTTAGGTTAGTGGTTCTCAAAGTGTGATCCCTGGACCAGCAGCATCAGTAAGACCTAAGATCTCATTATAAATGCACACTCCCAGGCCCCACCACACACCCACTGAATTAGAAACTCTGGAGTGGGCCCCAACAATCTGCATTTTCACAGCCGATGTTGATGAATGCTAAAGTTTAAGAACCACTGGCTTAGATGATTCTTACTTCTTTCTGAAGAAAAGATCATAGAGAAAATTTTTTAAACAGAGAAAATGTCTTCCTAAGAATCATTTAAAATATAGATTTACTTACAAACACTATGTAATGTCCACTCAGGACATCTTCAAGGCAACATATCAGCTCAGTTTAAGTTATTATAACAAAAATAAAAATATACATTTTTCTCGTTCAGATTAGCCTTCTTTCCAAGTAGTCAGAGTTAATAAGATTGTATTATAAATATTTTAAGGTAGCCCTACAAAGCTGAAATAGTTGCTCTGTCTTATGAAATTATCACTTCCAGGACATGCTTCCAGGTTCCTGACTGTCAAAAAAGCCAGTTGAATAGTAAAGAATACCAAATTACAGCCCCTCCAAAAATATTGATGTGAGGCTCCTATGCTGTTTTTAACTGATGCTAACTGAACTTATTGTGGTGATCATTTTGCAATGTATACAAATATTGAATCATTATGTTGTACACCTGAACTAATGTTATGTATCAATTATATCTACTAAAATGTTTGTAATTCTACAAAATTAATGTGATAAAATATAGGTTTGTTTTACCATGTAAACTAAATATGCAATTATACTATTTACTTTTATTGTTGAATAGGCAGACATGGTATGAAAAGATTGGTCAGAGGTAGCCACAAAAATTCCCACATTCATTTTCATATTTACCAAAATAATAACAAGAGGCCAGAAATGGCTGCTCTTTAATGCAAGTACCCAAGAACCAAAGAAACTTTTCCAAATCTGGTGCATTTTCCATTCTCTCTTTTTTGGTAATTCTGCAAAAAAATTTTTGTGTCATGCCTTAATATACATCACCAGACTATTACAAACTCCTGAAATTCTGCCTTAGATATTTTGAATTTGTGACAATACCTTTGTGATATCTGACTTCATTACTGCCTCCAAGTGCTCCTTCAACTGAGCTATCTCAAATTTAGGGAAACAATTTTGCTCCTCACTCCTGGCAACCTGCTGCTGAAGTTTTGCATTTTCATTTTTTACTTCGTTGATTTGCTGCTCAAGTTTTGTATTCTTAGCCCTTTCACTTTCAGATATGAATTGCACATTTTTAAGTTGAGCTACCAGTTTCTCAAGTCTACATTTCAGTTCCTGTCTTTCTTCCAAGTTTTCCTTTTCACGTTTCTGAAATTCTTCCTGTAAAGACAGGAACTCTTGTTCTTGGGTCTCTTTTTCCCTTTTCAATAAGTCCAAAGCAGAAGTGGTGGCATTTTCCAACTCTCCTCTGAGTTGTTGCAGCCTCTCCACCTCTTCTTCTTTCTTGCTTAAGGCTTTGTTCACCTCTGTGTACCGACTAACAATTTTGTTTTTTTCTTGCATTTCAGTTATATACTTTTCCTTTAGACAAACATAATTTTCCTTGGTCCTCTTAAGCTCTACTTGTAAGGTTTCCTTTTCTTTCCTAGATTCCTGAAGATGTCTTTGGGTGTTAGTTAAAATGTCATGCAAATTCTGCAAAGTCTTGTCTGTTTCATTCTTCTCTAGCATTACTCTGTATTTGTCTTCAATTAATGCTTCGATATTCTCCTTTAGCTTATTTATGATGCCAACGCACACTTGCTGCTTGTTAGTCTTCACCTGCAGTTCTTCAACCTTCTTCTCTAAATACATGTTAGTACACTGCAAATTTTGGATCAGAGTTTGCTGCTTTTTGTTAGTATGTTTTAATTTCTGTAAAACTTCATTTAAAGCCATATCCTCTTCCAGAGGTTGTAAGCACTCCAAGTCTTGCTCTGTGTCATGTGTTCTGCAGTCCTCCCAAGATGCTCCACAACTCCAAGAAATGCCAGCAGGAGAACGAGTTGACATAATCCCTGGACTTTCCATGTTCTCCACTGTGACTTCCTTTTGGTGACTGACTGACATATCAGGAGTGTCCCCAGAAATCTGTATCCCCTTTGAAGAAACTGCAACCTGTAAATTATAGGAAATAAGTGTGAAAGCTTAGGATTACCTTGAACTTTGAAGTCAGAGCTGACCTTGAATTGTAGATCCCTAGTTTGGTTTCCTCAGCTATAAAATAACAACTACAATATCTACGTCCACTAATAATACCTACTTAACAAAAATACTTAAGTATTAATTGTTAAGTGTATGTATAGCACCTAACAGCACAGCAGAGCACAAACAATAGGTATATGATAAAAATATGTATCACATTTACTTTTATAAAAGAAAAATTAAACTTTGATACTCTCACCATTTTCTCTGATACAAACTTTTCTGGACACATATAACATACTTTCCTTGACTTCACATGAATTAAAACAAATTTATCAATTACCCTATAGTTTGTGAGGCCTCTTTTAAATACTTTTAAAATTCCTCATTAAACATTGCCTCATTGTGCTATATAACTCTTGTGAACACGAGAATGCCAGGTGAACATCTTGTGATTTATTTCTGCCCACAATACAGGTGTTTTCCTTGTCGGGGGGGGGGGGTGTTAAAAAAGGACAGTAAGTTGTAGTAAAATAACACTGAAATGAATATGACATAAATACCCAGTAAAAGATATCTGCAGGAGTGGGATGTATAACTTTCTAGAATTTAGATTTTGGTCCTCTGTATTTTTATTTTATTTTATTTTTAGGGAGAGAGGAAGGGGGGAGAGAGAGAGAGAGGGACATCCATGTGAGTGAGACATTGATCAACTGCTTCCTGCAATGCCCCCTACCAGGGATCAAGCCTGCAGATTTTGGTGCACGGGATGACACCCAACCAACTGAGCCACACTGGCCAGGTGGACCTCTGTACTTTAATATTTCTTCATTGTTCTGGGATAAAGATAACTATCCTTTATGAAGTCTACAAGGTTCTAATATCTGATCTTGATATCTGACCCATGCTACCTCTCCATTCTCATCTACTATATCCCTCTTACTCCCTCCAACCCAACAATCCTGGGCTTCCTTCAGGACCTAACAGGAACAATGCTCCCTGTAGCCACAGTTTTTTTGCACATTAATTCTGCATGAAATGCTCTCCCTCACCTGATCACCTAATTAATTCCTACTCATCTTTCAGAGCTCAGCTCAATTCCCACTACATCAGAGAGTATCTTAAAAGCAGCAAGAGAAAGAAAGTCAGTTACCTACAAGGGAATACCCATACGACTGTCAGCTGATTTCTCAACAGAAACTTTGCAAGCCAGAAGGGAGTGGCAAGAAATATTCAAAGTGATGAATACCAAGAACCTACAACCAAGATTACTTTATCCAGCAAAGCTATCATTCAGAATTGAAGGTCAGATAAAGTGCTTCACAGATAAGGAAAAGCTAAAGGAGTTCATCACCACCAAACCAGTATTATATGAAATGCTGAAAGGTATCCTTTAAGAAGAGGAAGAAGAAAAAGGTAAAGATATGAATTATGAACAACAAATACGCATCTATCAACAGTGAATCTAAAAATCAAGTGAATAAATAATCTGATGAACAGAATGAACTGGTGATTATAATAGAATCAGGGACATAGAAAGGGAGTGGACTGACTATTCTTGGGGGGGGGGGAAGGGGTGAGGGGGATGCGGGAAGAGACTGGACAAAAATCGTGCACCTATGGATAAGGACAGTGGGTGGGGAGTGAGGGCGGAGGGTGGGGTGGGAACTGGAAGGAGGGGAGTTATGGGGGGAAAAAAGAGGAACAAATGTAATAATCTGAACAATAAAGATTTAATTAAAGAAAAGAAAAAAAAGAAGGAAAAAAAAGAAAAATTTTAAGCTTTCCTTGTCAAATAATTTATTTCTTGCTCTTTGCAACTTTTTTCTTAAACTAAGTTGTAGCTAATTTAATTCACCAAATATGAAAGCTTATTATGGTCAAGGCACTATATAGATGCTAAGATGCATAAAAGAAGTAGAACAGAACCTTGATCCTCAAAGAAACTATCATTTGGTAGAGCTAAGTTCCAAGTAAGGACTTAATTTTATTAGAAAAATTTGCTTCGACTTGTTCAAGATCTAGGAAGGCATTTTCCCCAGAGAAGTAATGTCCTTTATGCTGATTACCACTTGGAAAAGTCTCAGATAATATACCTTTTTTTTTTTTAATTGATTTCAGAGAAGAAGGGAGATGGAGAGAGAGATAGAAACATCAATGATGAGAGATAGTCATTGATTGGCTGCCTCCTGCATGCCCCACACTGGGGATCGAGCCCGCAACCCAGGCATGTGCCCTGACCGGGAATCGAACCAGGGGGTGGTGTGGAACGAAGGAAGGCCCCAGCCAGCAGCTAGCTGCTGCTAAGGACCCTACCTGTGCAAAAATTTCGTGCACTGGGCTTCTAGCAATTTATAATTGAAGATAAAGAGTTTCACAGACAAGAAAAAGCTAAAGGAGTTCATTACCATCAAACCAGTATTATATGAAATAGAGTCTTATTTAAGAACAAGAAAAGGCCCTAACTGGTTTGGCTCAGTGGACAGAGCATCGGCCTGCAGACTCAAGGGTCCCAGGTTCGATTCCAGTCAAGGGCATGTACCTTGGTTGCGGGCATATCTCCAGTGGGGGGCATGCAGGAGGCTGCTGATCAATGTTTCTCTCTCATCGATGTTTCTAACTCTCTATATCTCTCCCCTCCTCTCTGTGGAAAAATCAATAAAATATATTAAAAAAAGAAGAAGAAGAAGAAAAGAAGAAAAAATATGAACAATAAAATGGCAATAAAAAATAGTCATGGGGGTGTAAAGTACAACATAGGGAATATAGTCAATAATATCCTAATAACTAGGAGTGGTGCTGGATAGGTGTGGGATGAATTGGGATAATCATATATTAAGTTATATAATGTCTGGTCACTGGGGTGTAGAGAAAGGAAGGAAGGAAGGAAGGAAGGGAGAAAGGAAGGAAGGAAGGAAGAAGTGAAGGAAGGAAGGAAATAAGAAAGAGGAAGGAAGGAGAAAAATAATCTTACCTCCTTTGTTTCATAATCAGCTCTCGGATCATACAGGTTAAAGCTATTCTCTTGATAAAATGGTTTTTCAACACTGTTGTATAAATATTCCTTACACAAGAAGTTTTCAGGTTGCCCAGAGCTGAGGGTAGATTCTTTGGCAGTATTTTCAGTTAGTGGCATTTCCATGAATTTCAGTGTCTCTCTACTGCAGTGGATTTCAGATGGGCTTCTAGGAGGTTGCCACTCACATTCATGAGAAAGTTGGTCTTCATTTGTGGAAGTACTAGTTTCCACTGGATTTTCTTCTTTAAATGAATCCTCCTTAATATTGCTGTCTTTTTCATAATTATATACATGACTTTGCAATTCTGGCTTCTCTGTGTAAGGTAAGTTGCCTATCAGATTTTGAAATGTTAGCATTTTATCATTAAATGCTTTCGTCTGATGATATTTGAAAATGGGTTCACATTGTCTGAAGGAAGAAATGCTGGTGTCAATTGGCCGAGTTAGCATATCCTGTGAATAATTTCCACTGTTGACATCTCATTAGAAAGAGGTAAAAGAAAATAATTAGCTGACCATAAATTTATGTGTTAACAGTTATATTAACATTTATGAAATAAACTTTTCAAGTCTTTTAAGAAATATATTATAGAAAAAATATATCTTCAACTTTACTAGATATTGCGCATTTATTCTCTAAAATGTTACTTATACGTCTACCAGAACATAGAAATTCCTTCTCTATATCTCTCTAACATGTCATACTGATACATATGAAATGGCATTTTGTGGGCTTTTTAATGCACATATTTTTAGGTATTAAAGGTCTTGCAGGTTTCTTTTTCTGTGATCTAAATCGTTTCTTCAAAATTCACATGTTGAAGGCTTAATCCCAGTATCTTTATGTCATATTAGTTAGAGATAGGGCCTTTAAGGAGGTAATTAATGATAGGTCATAAGGGTGGGGCTCTACTACAATATAACTGGTGTCCTCATAAAAAGAGGAGATACCAGGGAGGCACAGAAGTAAAGGCCATGTGAGGACAAGAAGATGGCCAACTGAGAGGCCTCAGGAGAAACCTACTCTGCAGGACCTTGATCTTGGACTTCCAGCCTCTAGAACAGCGGTTCTCAACCTGTGGGTCGCGACCCCTTTGGCGGTCGAACAACCCTTTCACAGGGGTTGCCTAAGACCATCCTGCATATCACATATTTACATTATGATTCATAACAGTAGCAACATTAGTTATGAAGTAGCAACGAAAATGATTTTATGGTTGGGTCACAACATGAGGAACTGTATTTAAAGGGCCAGAAGGTTGAGAACCACTGCTCTAGAACTGTGAGAATATAAATTTGGGAACCAAGATGGCGGCATAGGTTAACGCCGGAGTTTGCTGCTTTGAACAACTACTTCAAAAGTGAAACCAAAAAAACGGAAGGGACAGCACCCAGAACCACAGGAACGCCGGCTGAGTGGAAGTCCTACAACTAGGAGGAAAGAGAAACGCATACGGACACTCAGAGGAGGCGCAGTGCTGAAGTCAAATTCTGAGGTGCGGAGTGCGCGGAGCGGGCTGGCGGCGGAGGGCGCGGTTGGCGTTTTCAATCGGGAGGGAGTCGCAGACTCTGAGCTCCAGATCCGGGCGAGTCTTTAGGGACCCAGACTCAAACGGGAGAAGCGGGACTGTCTGGCTTCGGTCAGAGCGAGTGCAGCTTTCTCTCTGAGCTTTGCAGCGGGTGCTGGGACTCAGAGAGGCAGAGCCTCTGGGAACAGGACTGAGAGCCGCCATAACTGCTCTCTCCGGCCCACCCTGTTGATCCTGTGCGACCCGCCCCGCCCAAGCCCTGCACACAGGCATTTGCCAGATAGCCTCAGGCAAAGGCTAGATTAGCACCTCCCTAGAGGACAGAAGTTCTCTCACTGCTGACACAGCTGATTCTCATAGCCACTTGGCCTGGAGGTCAAACCCTCCCTGGAATTAGCTACAACAATCAAGATTTAACTATAAGACTTCGAACAAAGACCACTAGGGGGTGCACCAAGGAAGCATAACAAAATGCGGAGACAAAGAAACAGGACAAAATTGTCAATGGAAGATATAGAGTTCAGAACCACACTTTTAAGGTCTCTCAAGAACTGTTTAGAAGCCGCCGATAAACTTAATGAGATCTACAAGAAAACTAATGAGACCCTCGATCTTATATTGGGGAACCAACTAGAAATTAAGCATACACGGACTGAAATAACGAATATTATACAGACTCCCGACAGCAGACCAGAGGAGCGCAAGAATCAAGTCAATGATTTGAAATGCGAGGAAGCAAAAAACACCCAACCGGAAAAGCAAAATGAAAAAAGAATCCAAAAATGCGAGGATAGTGTAAGGAGCCTCTGGGACAGCTTCAAGAGTACCAACATCAGAATTATAGGGGTGCCAGAAGATGAGAGAGAGCAAGATATTGAAAACCTATTTGAAGAAATAATGACAGAAAACTTCCCCCACCTGGTGAAAGAAATGGACTTACAGGTCCAAGAAGCGTGGAGAACCCCAAACAAAAGGAATCCAAAGAGGACCACACCAAGACACATCATAATTAAAATGCCAAGAGCAAAAGATAAAGAGAGAATCTTAAAAACAGCAAGAGAAAGAAACTCAGTTACCTACAAGGGAATACCCATACGACTGTCAGCTGATTTCTCAACAGAAACTTTGCAGGCCAGAAGGGAGTGGCAAGAAATATTCAAAGTGATGAATACCAAGAACCTACAACCAAGATTACTTTATCCAGCAAAGCTATCATTCAGAATTGAAGGTCAGATAAAGAGCTTCACAGATAAGGAAAAGCTAAAGGAGTTCACCACCACCAAACCAGGATTATATGAAATGCTGAAAGGTATCCTTTAAGAAGAGGAAGAGGAAGAAAAAGGTAAAGATACAAATTATGAACAACAAATATGCGTCTATCAACAAGTGAATCTAAGAATCAAGTGAATAAATAATCTGATGAACAGAATGAACTGTTGATTATAATAGAATCAGGGACATAGAAAGGGAATGGACTGACTATTCCTGGGGGGGAAAGGGGTGTGGGAGATTCGGGAAGAGACTGGACAAAAATCGTGCACCTATGGATGAGGACAGTGGGTGGGGAGTGAGGGCGGAGGGTGGGGCGGGAACTGGGAGGAGGGAAGTTATGGGGGGAAAAAAAGAGGAACAAATGTAATAATCTGAACAATAAAGATTTAATTAAAAAAATAAAAAAAAAAAAAAAAAAAAAAAAAAAAAAAGAATATAAATTTGAATTGCTGAAGCCACCCAGTCTGTGGTATTTCGTTATGGCAGCTCTACATATACATTGCCTGTTTTATTTGTTATTGTTTTTTAAATTGAGTTATATGTGTCTTTTTCTTATTGGAGTTCTTTATTGTAAATACTAATCCTCTGTCAATTGTATACATCACAGGTACCTTAGTCTGTGGCTTGCTTTTTTGCTTTGTTGATTATAATTTAGACACACAAATTTTAAAAAATTTAATATAGTCAAATGTATTATGGTTTGTATTTCTTGTGTTACTCTCTGAGCCTCATCTTTAAAATGAAGATAAAAACAGCCCTTATTTACAAAGAAGTAAAAGTCCTATTCCATTGTTTATAAATGTGATAATGTATATAAAATGCTTAGCACAGTACTTAGCTCTTATCATCATCATCACAGGACACACAAAAAATCTTAGTTTCTGTTTGTATATTGCCAACAAAGAGATACTCACCACCTAACACATCATCTAGTGTGCTATAAATTTCTTCAGAAAGTGTGATTTTAGACTCATTTTCCTTTTTTACATTCTTTATTTCATTCTGTATTAATAATAAAAAGGCATTATGAATACTTCAAATACCATTGGCCTCTCCTAAAGGTATATGTACATTGCTATGTAATTTTTGTTAGTATATCAAGTATGTGGATCTAAATGATGTTCTAAAAAAGTTCTTCTCTCTTATAAAGTTAGCTGGTTACAAATCTCTATTCAATATGCTTTTTATAGCATCGTTCCACTTATTGAATGTACCTGAAGTACAATAAAAACTGAATTATGTAACTATCTGTTTTTTTTTTTTTACTTGTTGCTAATTCAGATCATTCCTTCTAATTAGACTTTTAAAGTATCAGGAATAATATACTTGAAAAATAAAATAGCAATATTCACACGTATTGATGTTATAGTCATACAAACTTCTTGGTACTCCATTACTCATTGAATTTCAAAGATCACTTCTAATTCTTTTTTATAAAATATATTTTATTGATTTTTTACAGAGAGGAAGGGAGAGGGATAGAGAGTTAGAAACATCAATGAGAGAGAAACATCGATCCGTTGCCTCCTGCACACTCCCTACTGGGGATGTGCTCTATCCACTGAGCCAACCGGTTAGGGCTCTAACTCTTGTCTTACACAATATTACTGTTTTTAGCTAAACTAAGCCTTTGGTCTAAAAATTTTCTATAAAAAACAAGAGGGAGGACTTCCTTATATAATTAATTTAAAACATTCATTCTTTACAATTCACTGCACAGCAACTTATTCCAAATTAACACCATAATACTATGACCAAATTTTTTCCAAAATGAAAATAGACCAGATGTCAGGCTCCTTGTGTTCTTGTTCTGATTCTTACTGAGTTGTTGTGGCTATGTCTTCTGGTATACTCATGGGACTTCATGAAGAAACTAGAAAGGATCAGTTTTAACAGTTTGTAAAGTTCTACCTTTCTTTTTTTTTTTAAATAAATATTGCCTGTTTTTAATATATTTTATTGATTTTTTACAGAGAAGAAGGGAGAGGGATATAGAGTTAGAAACATCGATGAGAGAGATTGATCAGTTGCCTCCTGCACGCTCCCCAGTGGGGATGTGCCCGCAACCAAGATACATGCCCTTGACCAGAATCGAACCTGGGACCCTTCAGTCCACAGGCCGATGCTCTATCCACTGAGCCAAATCGGTTCGGCAAGTTCTACCTTTCTTGAAAACCAGTTCCACTATTCCTCTCTTCTATGCCTCCACTGGAGATTCCTTTATTGTTCTTTGTATATTTGTTGAGGCTATTTTTCCATTGATTTTTAGAAAGAGTGGAAGGGAAGGAGGAAGAGAAAAAGAAACATCAATGTGAGAGAGACAGTCTATTGGTTGCCTCCTGCATGAGCCGCCCGGGCTCGAGCCTGCAACCGTGGTAAATGCCTGGAATCGAACCCAGGATCCTTCTGTCCACAGGCTGATGCTCTACCCACTGAGCCAAGCCAGCTAAGGCTGTTCCTCATATTTTTTTTAAAAAATGTTCATATGGAACACAATGTGAATGTTAAATGCATCTGTATCTCCCAGACCTCATAAGTAATGCACACCTGAGACAAGTCTGAAGTCGTATTGCTGGTTTCCATACAGGAGGGAGAATTTGAGTGAGTTAAATCTTGAGAAAGACTGGTGAAATTCATGGCATCCACTTCTGACATGCTTTCTAATTTTTCATGAGAAACATCCATGTCAAAATATACAGGATCTGAAGGTGATCACCAATTTTTTTGATATTTCTTGTTCCTAACTGTTGAATGATGGAAGGCTTCTTTAAAAAAACACATAATTTTAAGGTCTTTTAGCATATGCAAACAAAAAACTTCCCCCCTCCCTTTGCACAGTAAGAAAGCAGTAAAGTTCACTGCCCTAAATTTTAAAATGTCATTTTCCAAGTTATTGAAAAAATAAAGAATTTTAGTGCGAGTATACCATACCATGGTAACTTTGTATGGTAGTAAATAATTTGGACAAAAGAAAATTACTGAAAAGACTTGCGACCCAGAAGGTGAAGGGATCTCTAAGTTATTTAATCAAAAGATATTCACAAAATATTATCAGAGACCTATTAGGTTCCACCAAACACTGACTGCATTTCTATTTAATAATTGCTATTTGAATATTTCTTTATCAAGTCAAATCCAACATTGTAAACCCATGTTCCCTCAGGCACTTGGGGTTTGAAAACTTGGCATCCTTCTACCTCATTGTCCAAGTCCTGTCCATTTATCCTTTAAAAATGATTTTCATAACCCATGCTTTCTTTCCATTCCTTAGATCGTTACTCTGGTCCATATTCTTCTAATTCCTCGGGTCTGTTAGGGGGTGGGGATGGAAAAGATGTCCAATCACAGTGACTTCAAATTCTTCTGCTTGACTTTCTAGGTCTTCCATAGCCTGAACCCACTTTACCTAGCCAATACTCCCCTGCTCTAGTAGGATCAAGTTCACTTCCCTGCAAATAGGTCATGCTCCTTACCACTTCAGTAGTTTGTCCTTGCAAGCGTTTCTCTCTCCTAACCTTTCCTATCTAACCATTCATCTATTTTTTAAATTCCTAAAATCTTTAGTCTAAATCTCTCATAATTAAATACCTATTCGTTTTACTGTTTTAGTCTTAACCATGGTTTCAAGCGTGTTAGTGTTTATATTCACAGATTACACATACTTCTAGAAGAGTCCATTTATGGTTCTACAATACTCCCTATAGCAAATGGACCAGTGTCGTCCAGGATAAATATTAACTTAACCCAGCATTCCAATTATTTATTTCTATTAACCTTCCCAATCTACAGTCACTACCATTTGCCTGGATTACTTTGTTGAATTATCAAATTAATAAATAATTTATTGAGGATTTATGTTTTTCAAACTTACGTCATCCTTTGGTTAAGGATAAAAAAGCCACCGAGCCTAGCAGGCTAGTCAGGATTGGTGAATGGTTCAACTTTATGCTCAGTTTTTCCCTATTTCCAAACACATAAGTATTGCCTAGGTTGTGGTGAAGGGAGTTTGAAAAATCGTTTAATTTCCAAATGCAAAAACTGCAAGGGCCTTCTCTCTTAAATTTGGGAACCTAGAACTTCCAATTACACGTTTACACTTTTGTTCATAGGGCACAATCTGCCGATTTATTTTGTTAGGCTTACTTTTACCATCTTGCATTCCGACCTTACCGGATGTACGTTAAACTTTTAAAGTATTTATTCAAATGTTTCCAGAGATATTCTAAAGCTGTTTTAAGACCGGCGTCAAAAGAGGTGTCACTGGATCTCGCGGGAAGAAAGTGAGGGGGTGGCCGCTGGGGCGTCCGCTCTCGGGTCCGGGCCCCGCCTCTCCGGCGCCCCGACCCCGCACCACCCGGCCCAGCCTCCTAGCGAGCGCCGCGGAGACCGAGGGGGCAGGATCCGCACGAAATAAATAGAGAGTAATGCAGGAAAAAAAATAAAAATAAAAAAGAGGTGTCAGTGGAGTTACTGGTCAAAACTCTAAGGTGTTATGACAAACCAGCTTTCTACAAGCACTTCTCACTTTCACCTCAAAACAACGCGCCAAACTCTTTGAATCGCAAAAGCGTGCTCACTTCCAGGGTCCATGCAGTTTCTTATACCCACAATAAGGATCTCGTGCTTCCACCCCCCCGCACCGGTTTTGCGGGAGGGAGAAGAACACTTTCCAACCTTTCCTACGGAATCCCCCTTCGGGAGGCAAGCGCGACGAACCGTTCCAGTGTGACGTCCGCTCGCCCCCGCCCGCGCCGGCCAATCCCGGCGGGGAACGGCGCACGCCGGGCTGCGGCCCCAGGGGGCCCGGCCTGGGGGCACTCCGAAGTCTGTTACCGGAGTTGGGAAGTCATGCGGATGTAACCCCCCGGGCCGAACCTGTGGCTTGGCTGGCGCGCCTTTCTACAGGAAGACACACAGAAACGAAAGCCTCCAGGTGGGACGGCGGGCCCAGCGAGGAAGGCGAACCGCTCGACACTTCCGTGTGACCTCCTTGCGCAGGCTCTCCGTGGGCCGCGGGACGGGACTTCCGGTAGAACATTTCCGGTAGGGGCGGGGCTTCCGTTCGAGCCGGGGGGCGGCGGTACCGGGTCTGTAAATCTTAAATCCTCGTAGCACGTGGCGCGCTTTTGGCATCGGGACTACAGCGCGGTTTGCGAGGCGGGCGACCTCGGAGAGGCCGTGAGGTCGGGCCGTCTGTGTGGCTCCTCCGGTGGCGCTGACGCCCCGCGCGTGCCGTCATGGACTACCGGCGGCTGCTGATGAGTCGAGTGGTTCCTGGGCAATTCGACGACGCGGACTCCTCCGACAGGTAGAAGGCGGTGCAGTACACCGACTTTGTTGGGGTTTTGCTCTCTCTGCCGCCGCCGGGCCTTGAGGGAGTTAACGCTGGTGTAGAGGGAGGCTGGTGGTGCATCGCGCTGGGGCTCTCTTCCCACACGGTCGCGTCTTTCTCCATCCCAGCCCTGACTTCGTCCCAGGTAATGGCAGAGTTCACGAAAGCCGCTTGTCAGGGGAGTCCAGGGTTCCCAGGTTGGTTGGCATTGCTGAGAGGCCGAGTTGGGCATAGCGATTGGGAAACAGGTTTTTGCGCCTTCCTGGTAACTTCATTCAACGTTTAAAAACGGTTCTTACTTTATGTTGACAGTAAGGTGAGCACCTGCTATGTGCCAGGTTCTGTCCTCAGCGCTGGAGGTAGTGATGAACAAGGCAAACTGAGTCCCTGTCACTGAATTTTACCGTCTGCTTGAGAGGTGGAGCAATTAAGTACAAAGGTATTACTTAAAAACCAGATAATTATATATACTATGCAAACAATTTAAGTCAGTTTGTAGAATAAGTTATGATTTGGTCAAGGAGGGGTTAAGTCCAGATCTGACCAACAAGAATGAGTTAACCTCAGGAAAAGGGGAGACAACAGCCATTCAGAAAGAGGGGACAGCAAGTGCTAAGTCCCCAGAGTGGGAACCCTCCTGGCTGTGAAAGGAAGATCTATCTAGCCAGAGGTTCTCAACCTGTGGATCGCGACCCCTTTGGCGGTCGAACGACCCTTTCACAGGGGTTGCCTAAGACCATCCTGCATATCAGATATTTATATTACGATTCATAACAGTAGCAACATTACAGTTATGAAGTAGCAACGAAAATAATTTTATGGTTTGGTCACAACAATGAGGAACTGAATTTAAAGGGCCAGAGGTTGAGAACCACTGATAGGCCATTGTGCTTAGAGCACAGCAGAGGTAGTTGAACAGATTGGTAGGTAATGATATAGAAGTGAAAAGGGGCCAGATGATGGAGAGCAAGCATGTCAAACTCAAAGGCTAACATGGGCCAAATAAACAAGGTTTAAGTTTATGTGAGCCACAAAAAAACAAAAGCTTCAATTTTCATAGAAACGTAGGTTTATTTCGATAGAGACATGCTGAATACAAAGGGCTGAGATAAATGAGTAATCCTATTTAATAAAAGCCTAATATGCTAAGTGTTTGGTTGTCCAGGTGTCTGTTCAACCAAAGCAAAATATGCTAATGATATGCTAAGGCTGCTCAACCACTCGCTATGACATACACTGACCACCAGGGGGCAGACACTCAACGCAGGAGCTGCCCACTGATGGTCAGTGCGCTCCCACATGAGGAGCGCCGCTCAGCCAGAAGCCAGGCTCACGGCTGGCGAGTGGGAACCTCTCCCACCTCCTCCACGGGTCGGACGTCCCCCAAGGGCTCCCGGACTGCAAGTGCATGAATTTTGTGCATCGGGCCTCTAGTTAACATAAAATAATACATTTTAATAAAAATTAACATTTTTTCTTGAACATTAACTTACCAGACACTGAATAACTGCACAAATTAATAAGCATAATACAAATAAACCTATTTTTATTTTTCTCCAAAAGTGAAATATTTCCTGTTGTGCACACCAAATAATGACGGAACTTTTTGCCGTGGCAATCGGCTACTAAAATATTTGCTGTTAGTATTAGTGGAGAGAAATGGTGCTCCTGCACGTAAGGCGCGTAAGGGAAATGAATGCAACAAGATTATAGTAATCAGTCATTAGTGCACATTGTACAGACAGTCCTTGGGTTACCTTGGACTCAATGTATGTCGTTTTGTGGTTACCTCGCCATTTCCCATTTATTTATAAAAAAAAAAAAAGTTCCATCATTTTGACGTATGTACATATGTGCTTTATGTTTTTTATTTGTTTACCACAAGTAAAGGTCAGGAATTGTTATCTTTCTTTTAAATTTTTTTTTTACTGTTTCACTGCATTACTGCTGTGTATGTGCTCCATGTGAGTGACATAGGTGCTTATGTAGGTGGGTTCCGACTTACAGTAAAAATTGCATGACGTAGTGCTGTAGGAACAGATCTCCGACGTAACCCGAGGACCTACTGTAGTTCATTATTAATAATTATGTATAACAGGAAATTGTAAAAAGTAAGTTACGAAATTTTAATTAACACGTTTCTTACTATTATATTGGCTGGGCTGCAAAAAAGTTCGTTGTGGGCCACATGCAGCCCACGGGCCACGAGTTTGACATGCTTGATGTAGAGCCTTACAAGTGATGGTAAGGAGTTGAGATATTCTAGGGCTTAGAAAGCCATAGAGGGGTGCTAGCAGGGGAATGATGTAATCTGATTTATGACTTAAAGGAATCACTTCGCTATGGAGAAGATGATTTTGGAATGCAGAGTGGAAGCAGTACAAAAGTAATAAAAATAATTTAGTTCAGTGATGATGGACATTTAGAGATAAGGTCATAGAGATATTTTACAGATAGAAATGACAATTTGGTGGTAGATTGAAGGTGGGATATGAAGCAAAAGTTATTAAGGATAACTTTCACATAAAGCAAGGTGAAACTGTTTTATAATTTCAAGAAAATGGTTTTTACTTTATGTTTACAGTAAGGCTTCATTGCATGCAAATTTTCTTAACTATAGATTTTTTTCAGTAAGTATATGTTGATCACTTTCTATGTGTCAGATATAGTGTTAGTTGGTAGGGATACATTGGTGTAAACTACTCTGACACCAACATTGCACTCTAGTAGGGAAAACATTAAAAAATTAGACAAATTGGCTGGTCCAGCCTGGCTCAGTGGTTGAGCAGTGACCTATGAACCAGGAAGTCACGGTTGGATTCCAGGTCGGAGCACATGCCTGGGTTGTGGGCTCGATCCCCAATAGGAGGCAGCTGATCAATGATTCTCCTCATTGATATTTCTATCTCTCTCCCTTCCTCTCTGAAATCAATAAATATGTATTTTAAAAAATTAGACAAAAGATTTGGATTAGAATTGGGTAAGTGGTACAAAGGAGAAACGGGTGAATAATATGGAAGATTTCCCTAGGCAAGTGATAGTAAACTAATGCTGTAAGGATAAGTAGGATTTAGCCAGAGAATTGAGAAAGACATTCCAGACTTATGTTTACACATAAGAATATAAAAGGCCCAAGGGAAAAAGTTAAGGGGAAATATCTATCACTGGATATTGTAAAGGTAAACCAATGGATTCTGTCCACCACTTTTCCCTTTCCCCACCCCCAGTGACTTTGGCAATTTCTGGAGACATTTTTGTTTGTCACAACTGGGGATGGTGCTGAACTAGTGGCATCTGGTAGGTAGAGGCTGGAGATACTGCCAACAGTTCTATGAGGCACAAAACAACTTCCCACAACAAAGAATTGTCCAGCCAAGGTTGAGAAGCCCCAGTACTATTGAAGGTATAACTTTAACATGCCACTTTAGGTTATTAGCAAATGAAGGGTCAACTTATGGATTATGTTTATGAAATCCTAGTAAATAGTAGGTGTTTAATGACTATTTGTTTCATAAAGATTTGGAGCCCTGTAAACCATCCTATCTAATAATAGACAAACATGGTAATTAACCATGCCACCACTATGCTTCCCAATGGCTAATCAGCAGGATATGCAAATTAACTGCCAACCAAGATGGTGACCGGCAGCCAAGCAGCTGAAGCGAACAGGAGGCTTGCTTGCTCCAGTGATGGAGGAAGCCAAGTTCCCCACCTGCTGCGGCCCAGCTCTGAGCTCCGGATGCAACAATGTTGCAATTATAGAAGCTAAACAAACCCCAGAAACCTACTTTCAGCCAACCGGCCTCGGAGCTGGAGCCACAACAAAGTTTCAATTACAGAAGTTAAATAAATCCCAGAATCAAAAAAAAAAAAAAAAAGGAGAGACTTGGGGCTTCAGTTGCAGGCTTGGCCCGCCTGAAAACAGCCCTTAGCCCCTCACCCAGGCTGGCCAGGCACCCTAGTGGGGACCCCCACCCTGAAGGGGGTGTGGGCAGCCTGAAAACAGCCCTCAGCCCCTCTCACCCAGGCTGGCCAGGCACTCAAGAGGGACCCCCACCCTGATCCGGGACACCATTCAGGGCAAACCAGCTGGCCCCCACCCATGCACCAGGCCTCTATCCTATATAATAAAAGGGTAATATGCAAACTGATCCTAACAGCAGAAAGACTGGGAATGACTGGTCACTGTGACACACTGACCACCAGGGGGCAGACACTCAATGAAGGAGCTGCCCTCTGGTGGTCAGTGCACTCCCACATGGAGGAGCTCTGCTCAGTCACAAGCCAGGCTGATGGCTGCCAGTACAACAGTGGTGGTAGAAGCCTCTCCTGCCTCCTCAGCAGTGCTA